CTGCTCATTCATTTGGGCCAGTGGGATGGGCCACAGCCACTGCCCAAAAGTGAGGGGGCAGGGCTGCCATACCCAAGAGGTAGAGGAAAGGGGCTCCCAGACCAAAGGGGTGAGGTTGCCACTCAGAGGAACTAGGGGACTGAAGCCACCCAATGAAGGAGACTGTACAGGTGCCAAGTTGACATGGGTTGGAATTGTGGTAATTAAGATTATGTGTCAACTTGGCTGGGCCTGGTTTTGAGTGTCTGGGCAGCTGGATGTAGTTATTCCCCATGGTGAGAATGGTAATTAACTCCATGGTGGAATCTACTGGAGCAGCTGAGTAGCTACCTTACGGCTATAGTCTGCTTCCAGTAAATAAGAAGCAACTTTGATCAAGGTCTCCAGCTTTTGGCACATTTGAATCCTGCTCGTAGCTGAGTTGGTACTCAGCAGTCTGCCATGTTTGCTGATCTTGGGACTGTTAATGGGACTTGAATCAATGGCCTGCCATGTGGTTTGGTATTATTGGGACTATGCCATTTTATTTGTCGACCTTGGGTTTGTTAGCCTCAGCAGCCAGCAGCTAGCTGCCTGAGTGAAGAGACTTCTCTAACTTCAGTGGGCCAGGAGCAAGAGGCAGAACTGAAGCCCAAGGTCAAGAGGCTTTCACCCAGCCCTTAGAGCCTGGCACTTGGAACTTGGACTTCTAGCCTCCAAAACTGTAAGAGAATAAACTCCTATTTGTTAAAGTCACCCATTTGTGGTATTTTCTGTTAGAGTGGCACGAAATAACCAAAACAATCTTGTATAAATTCTTGAGGTGCAACTGTGAGGTCAATTAGTAAATTTTTCCTAATACAGGGGAGTTTGTGAAATTTCACTAGGATTTAAGGTAGAAGAGTGAGTGCAAGGTCAGGTCGACATGGCTAGGGGAAGAGAAAGATGCCTAGAAATGTTTTCAAATAGTTTGTAATTGTTGTTAGGTGCCGTCAGGTTGGTTCTGACTCCCAGTGACCCTATGTACAACATTGCCTGGTTCTTTGTCATCCTCTCAATCATTACAATGATTGAGCCCATTGTGGCAGTCACTGTATCAGTCCATCTTGTTGAGGTGGTGGTTGTTGTTATGTGCCGTGGAGTTGGACCCGACTCCTAGCAACCCCTCCTTGGGTTTCCGAGGTGGTATCACTACGGAAGTAGATTGCCCAACCTTCCTTCCGAGGAGTGGCTGGTGGGTTTGAACCACCAGCCTTCTGGTTAGCAGTCAAGT